GCTGGTCGGGCTGCAGCAGCTGACCAGCACTGATTGTCAGGCACTCCCTAGTGAGATAAACCCAGTACCTCAGTTGAAAATGCAGAAATCACCTGTCTTCTGTGTCGCTCGCGCTGGGAGTTGGAGACTGGAGCTGTTCCTATTCGGCCATCTTGCTCCGCACCCCCCACAGGATTTTATAGAATGATGAGTTCATAATATGAATATAGAAATGAATTTGACTGCACCAAAATTTAAAGCTTCTGATTTTCAATCCATATAAATTATCAACAGACAAGTATCTGTATAATCTATAATAAAGAATTATCTAAACAATATATGAAAAATTCTAACAAAAACATGAAGAAGAAAATGTGGAGAATGACAATTCAGAGTAAATACATGGCAAACACTGATAACAGAGAAATTACTCTTCTCCTTACATACTGGAAGTGTTGACTGACTTTGCTTCTATAGCAGGCATTAGAACATTATTAATTAATATTTAAAATGAACAAACACCTTAATCCAACAATCCCACTACTGGAGATTGTGCCTACAGAAATACTAGAACATGCATGTAAAAATGGGTATATTGAGATATTCAATGAATACTTCTAATATGGAAAAACTGAAACAAACTAAATAATCACCAAAAGAAGTATGGTTAAATAAATTTTGTTTGATTCATTCTATGGAAGTTAAAAAACAACAACACTGCAGAAGAAGCAAAAGATCAGGAATGCAGAGTTCTGTCTCTAGTAATGGTAGTGTATAATGTCGATCAAGCTCCCTGTGGCTTTAGGGATGGGAGATCTAGGAAGGCAGTGAAGAAGCCAGGCACAGTGAAAGGGCTAGAATCCAGGAGAACGAAACCGAGAGGAGAAGTTAGGTGACTAGGAATGCTTTGCTCTGAGGAATTCTGTTGATTCTTGAAGAGGAGTCCAAAATTAAAAGTAAGCAGTCAGCAGTCCTGACTTCCCTGAAGGGCTAGAAAATTGAAAATTGAAGACCAGAGCCAGCCAAGGGAAGGTACAATGGAAGAGAATTTGTTTGCGTTCAGATCCCTAAAACCTATATCCTATGATTAAGGGTAAACTAAAAGTAGAATGGCCATCCCAAGAACTAGAATACCAGCTTCCAATCATCCAAATCTCTGAAACTGAACTAAAGTAATTTACGATGGTAACTGCTCAAAGTACATACCAAAAGCAAATATAAATTCTCTGCAGAAGAAAATGTTATCCTAGGCCTCATAATATTTCTTTGATTTTTCTTATTAAAAAAAAATCAGGTACATGAAAATGCAAGAATGTTAAGAGTGAGAATTATAAGAAACACCACCAAATATATGGCTGGGCGCTGTGGCTCACACCTGTAATCCCAGCACTTTGGGAGGCTGAGGCAGGTGGATCACCTGAGTTCAAGACCAGCCTGACCAACATGGAAAAACCCTGTCTCTACTAAAAATACAAAATTAACAAGGCATGCTGGTGCATGCCTATAATCCCAGCTATTTGGGAGGCTGAGGCAAGAGAATCGCTTGCACCCAGGAGGCACAGGTTGCAGCAAGATGAGACAGCGCCACTGCACTCCAGGCTGGGCAACAAGAGCGAAACTTCCTCTCAAAAAAAAAAGAAACACCACCAAAGATAAACAGACACACAAGAACAGGCAACACAGTGAACAGATAAAGACTTAAATTGCTATATGCTTATTAATGTGATCAAAGAGATGATGAATGGCTAAGACTAAATATTTGGGGGTAGAGAATATGAAACTATATAAACAAAAGAACCAAACTGAAATTGTAGAGCTGAAAAATGAACAAAAATAAGAAATGAGCAAATAGTTAGCTAAGTTAAACACTAAAGAAGAGAAGAAGTTAAAATGTAGGTTAAAGGTAAATATCTAGAACAAAGCACAGATGGATAAAAAGACAGAAAATACAAGAAACAAGTGTAAATGAAACGGATATGGTGAAAGGTATAACACGTCTAACTGCAATCACTGAAAGAGAAGGAAAAGCAAGCGAGGGAAAAGCAAGAGCTGAAGAGAAACTGACTCAGATTTTTCCCAAATGGTGTAAGTCATTAAGCCACAGATTCAAGATGCACTAGAAGCCCAAAGTAGGATAAATACAAAGAATGCCACATCTTGGCACCTCATACTAAAATTGCTAAAAACCAAACAAAAGGCAAAGAAAAGACCACAAATAAAATGCTAACAACCTAGAATTTTACATGAACCAGGTAAAAATATCCTCCAGAAATCAAGGTGATTTAAAGAGATTTTCAAACGACAGAACTGAACATATCACTAAAAGGAAATACTAAAGGACATTCTAATTTACATCAGCCTTAACTATGATGTCAAGGAAGTATGTTTTACCTTAAGAAAAAAGGAAAAAAGTTAATATGGGGATGTAACTATTTATATGTTCCAATGAAAGAACACAATTAGAGGAAAAATACTGGCAAGGAAAATTAAACTAGAAAAACAGGTGTCAGAATCTGATTATGACATTCAACTATTCAGCTATAGGTGGTTTTGCCACAATGCTTGTCATGGTGGGTGAAGGACAGGCAATCATGAATTTAAGAGAGGCACTGGTTTGCTAAGAAACGTCCACGTTTATCACTCTTAGCCATTCCACCACTTTCCTTTGGTTTAAAATCCGCTTTTTCAACAGTTCTAGGATTGTGGCATTAAATTAGATCTAAAACCTAGGTATTACTATTAGAAGTATTAGTAAATTCTTCAAGCTTTTGTATTTTCCTTCTATTCTTAAAAAATTTCATTTCTTATCCTTTGTCCTACGGCGGGGGAGGGTAGTAAGAAGCATTCAAATTTTTAGCACAGTAACTGATAGGATCACACGCTTTCAACATATCAAAAAATGTTCATTTCTGCCCCCAGCCTCAAGTAGCAGTTTCATGGTTTATCTACAGGAAACTCAACCATTAAGAACATGCCTTTCTGCTTTATTACAAGCAAACAATAATACATTACAAATATTCAAGGATAAAGTGAAAATATGGTACACACCAAATTGATATTGCACATAAAACATGTGTACAGAAAAACTACAAATTCCTTTTCCTGAGAAAAATCTAAAATAGGTACCTGAGCAAGCTCTTTCTGTTCATTCACCAGTCGGCCACAGCTAGCAATCATCTGGTCCAGGGCGTAGAGCCGATCTTCAAGCCCTTTAATGGCTTTCATATTCTGATTATCAAGTTTGGCAATAGTTTGACGGCATTCTGCTATAAATGGTCGAATAATCCTTGGATCAAGCTAAATGACAAGGAAACACATATGAATACAATTTTCAGCAAACAGTTTAAAATGTATTTCATGCTATTCTGACATACAGCTTAAGAGAGAAAATAAGTGATAAAAGACATAAAAAAGCAAAAGCATGGGTACTCTAAGTTATACTTTCATAAGAAGGTCAAGTACAGGATAAATATCATCCTAGACAACACTAAATTTACACTAGAATACATAATTAGGAATACAGTTTCAGGAATCACACATTTCAATCAGTGTTACAATTTAATCACTTCTCAGTATCTCTCAGAAAAAGGTATTTTCAATGTCAGCATAATATCATTAATTCTCTTATCAACGCAACTTCTCTTTAAAACATATAAACTTCTTTGGCAAACTTATCTCCCTCCTGGAGACAGAAGATAAAACTTCTTTATTCTCAATCTCTAGCTCCTCAATGAATCTGCTTGCTCAATTATGCTTTCTCACTCTTCCATCTCTCCTGTTCCCTGGCTTTAATTCTACACATTTGCTGAAATTCATGAAACCTATAAAATTTTCCAGTAATGCTCCTGGTCCCTTAAAAAAATATTTTACCTGGCTGCCTTTCCGTCTGCGTTTTCCATAAAAACCGCTCAGCCAAAAACTACCAATGACCTTGCTTCACTTGAGGCTCTTCAACAGTTAGCATGGCAGATAACCTTTTCCCAACCTTACAGGCTCTGGGAAGTTACTTCTACTGGTTCCTTCATAGCATCCTTTTCTGGCTCCTTTTGCTCTGTCTAATCTTTCTAAAATAGATGATTCAGAAGCCCATTTTTACTGTTCTCAATATGATTTCAGCGTTAAGTATAACTTTTCTGGAGATAACTCCCAAGTTTACTTCAATCACTCATCAGTCTCACAAATTCTCAAGCTGTGTTTCTGTTTACTAATAACTACATGTGGGTATCAACCATGAAACCTTCTATTATTGACTTACTATGCTTGTTCCTAATAAATCCCCCAAATGACTTTCTTCTGCCCACAGAAAATATCCAATAAATGTAGAATACAACAAAAGCTTCATTGATCTGATATCAGAGAAAATCAAGCCTCTCATCTTTTCAAGCTGAAATGTCTATCATTTCAAGATAAACTGTGTTTTTCTATCTCTGATCTTTGTTCACAATTCTTATACTGTTTAAGTCAACCTCTCCTTCTATTTAAAGATCCTAGACAAATACCTTCTCTAATCTCTACAGTTGAAAAAAATTGATTAATGCATAGTCTTGTACGCAGAGAACATACAAAAGCAATTAAAATTAAACTTTATTGTTATTATCAAAAATCCAGTGCAGTTAAATAAAAGGATGCATGTCTACCACCACCAAAAAAATTAACAAAACCATTATTTCAGAATAGGCACCACTAGTTTTGCACAATGTTGTCTCAACTGAAACTTGTACATTTGTGAACATTTTCTCACTTTTCTCAATTTTGTGGTAACTGAGTCCAATGTGTATAGATTTCTACACCCGAGTACTATGCAAATCAAAGCCTGGTTACAAATTATTAGAACGATAAAGATGAAAATTGGTTCAAATGTTCAACCTGGGCAAAATTACAATTATACATAAACTTAACATAGCAACAACTTAAACCAAAAACAAGGGCTCCGGAATACGACGTATCTGAACTAACTTAATTCATTGAAAGTATAACTGCACTGACAAACATAGAAGAGTATTTGATGATTCACTAAAAAGTTTGCATAACTTCCTAAAAAACATTTTTTTTGAGCCAAGTTCTGGCTCTGTTGCCCAAGATGGAGTGCAATGGCATGATCAGAGTTCATACTATAAGCTCCAGCGATCCTACGGCCTCAGCATCCCTAACTGCTGGGACTACAGGCATGTGCCGCCACAATCAGCTAATTTTTAAAACAATTTTTTGTAGACATGGGTCTCACCCTGTTACCTAGGCTGGTCTCAAACTCCTGGGCTCAGGTAATACTCCCACCTTGGCCTCCCAAAATGCTAGGATTATAGGCATGAGTCACCGTCCCCAGCTGACTTCCTAAAATTTCACTGCACTTAATATTTTATTCCATTTGTCCACAGGTAATAAAAATCTTTGAAGAAATGTTTTAGATTACATATATTTAAACCACAGAATCTCATTAGTAATTATTTAGCCAATTTTGAATAATTAACAGGCAGTGATACACTAATTTTTATTCTTGGGCTCTTTGGCATCTACAAAGGCTAATATTATTTTTAACTGAGAAAAAAACTATAAAACATTAAGACCAGCCTTGGGCAACATAGTGAAACCCTCCATCTCTAATGAATGGAATGAAGTTAAAATAAATGTCAGAATATTTACTACCTTCAGAAAATTAGCTATAGTGTTATTACTAAGCAATCGCGCTTTTTCCCTTTTTAGAGGTTAATGCTACTTTGAATAGGCAAGCAACAACATCTGAAGTCTTTTGTGATATTTTAATGACCCTTATATTACATAAGCCAAACAATACAAACTTTTATTTGGGTTATTCTTGTTTTTTCAAAATACTAACATCATGACTTTAAGTGTGCCTATAATGGTGTGCCTAACAGTGACTTTTAAAGTGATCCCTAGTACCTCCCCTTAGTTTGCCATATGCCCATTTAGATTTTTTTAATTACTGTCCTATCAACGAAGAGTAGTTTGGGATGCTGGGCCTATTACCTTACGGTGCTGGTGATGCAGATCTGTTTGGCAGCGTACACCACCATGCACCAATGTACCACCATTGTATGTTGAAACAAACCAAAGCACATGCTGCACGTGTACGCCAGAGTTTTTAAAATAAATGTTTGTAAATAAAATCAATATTATATTCTAAAGCAATTAAATCCATTTTGGAAAAATTATTGTATATTATTTATTATTTTTTAACAAATACATGATCTATAATGTGATGTATTTTGCAATGATGAATGGCATTTTGGGCCTTGATGTTTTTATTAGATAGATATTTTACCCCTCTCAGGATGTACTATACCTTTTTTCTTGTACACTAGTGGGCATTTCTGAAGATGAACTGAGTATGAGGATTTCCCCCTTCTCTGATTGGAGATGGTTTTTCACGCCTGTCTTTATTAAACCAGTTGTCCCCCAAACCAAACCTTAACCTACTTGGATACTTGGATTGCGAATAGCGCTGTTTGCCAATGAGTAATAAAAACCTTGCCAAGATTTTTTTTATCCGATAAAAGGAAATTCCGTTTAAATCTATCGTTTTTGCAGATTAATTCCAATTGTACAAGTATTTGTATCATGGTATTTCAACTGCAAATTAAAATGTCTTTCTCGGGAAGATTAGTCCAGGACATAAGGTATTTTTGGAAATTTAAGGATTTTTGTAAATACAGGGGGCTCAAGTCCTGGCGGGGCATTGACATTCATTTTACCTACCTCCTGTCATCATAGTCCCAACTTAACGCATGGGATTCCCCCTAGTTTTATAAATTTTTGGTGGATTAATTAAAGAGATGCCCTAGTTTTGGTGGAAATTATTGTTTTTTCCCATTTTTTTGTACTATCAGAAAAAATTTAGATTGTTGCTGCATTTTTGTAGACTCTATTTTTTTTTAAGAATTTTAGTGTAAATTCTTGCTAAAAAGAACTCCTTTTTTGTGGTTGTTTGTTTTTGAGAGGAGTCCTCGCCTCGGTGTGCCCAGGGCTGGGAGTGGCAGTGGGCACGTCTCCGGCCTCATGGCAGCCCCTTCCACCTACCGGGTAGCTTTGGGAATACCAGCGGCCCTGCCACCACGCCCCAGCAAATTTTTGTATTTTTTTTAGTAGAAATAGGGGTTTGGGTAATATTGCCAGGCCTGGCTTTGAACTCCTGGACCTCGGTGGGATTCCGCCTGGCCTTCAGCCTCCCAAAGTGCTGGGAATTACAGGGTGTGAGCACTGACCTGGTTTTAAGAATTATGGCTTGAGTGTTCTATTTCAGATTATACTACAGAAGGCACACTGATTTGGTGTTTCCGACGATTTAAATAATTGGAAAACGTCTGCATTTAGCACATTTCTAAACTGTCTAGGTTAATGCCAGCATAATTTATTGAGCTTTAGCATTTCCTTTCCAGACAACTTGGTGATTTTTAAGGAACTCTATGCAGGGGAGTGGGTTTAAAGGTGGGAGGCTTAAAGAGAGAGTGTAAGAAACTTTGT